GCTCCTCCACTGTTTAAAGACACAGACAAAATAGCCTAAAGAGAGCCTGCCTTGCACAAATCAGTATTTTACTGTCATTTACTTTTTTCTTTAAATTAAATGTTATGGCCCCTCACAGAAAACAAATACAGAGATTTCAGAAGCACATGTTTTAGAGATGTATAGATATCTGGCTGGCAGAACATTAAGTCTGAAATTGCTGGTTTCTGTGCTGTATAATCAGAGGGCAAAAGAACAGCTGGTTAAAAGGCAGTTCTACTAAATACTCATTTTACACTGCATCCAAGTTGAGTTAACTTCAAAGTTCTAATCAGTAACAACAAAAGTTTAAAAAGAGCAAAACTAAGTCACTTCAGAGCACGGCTGTTAAAAAGAACACAATAAAAATCCCTAACACAGCACCAAGATTCTGAGCATCCCAGCTCCGAAAAATACCCAAAGCCAGCGCGAAGGGCACAATTCACAACAAAGTGAGACTGCTACTGTTTCAGAACCTACACAGAATCATTGACTGGCCACAAATGAGGAAGCACATGGAAGTACAAATGAAACAAGTCCAACGACACACCCTCCTTTGTTCGCGGCAGGAATATTTACACTACAAAGCGTTGAGGCAAATCGCCTTTAGTTTCAGGCGCTGCTCATTGGCCGCCGCGTTTCATACACACACACGCCTGGCAGAGTTGGAGTTTCGACTGTCACACAGCAGCTCTAGATTGCAGGGCAGGCAGCAAGCCAGAAAACCATAGAAAACAATTATTTAATGGAATTATTCTAATTGAACTGATCCTCCACAAGATACGTTTGTTGTGAACAGGGCAGATGTGGAATTTTTCACTCCACTGTAATTCAGTGAAAGCTGAAAACCGGCTCCCCTCACAGCCAGCCCTCAGTGCAGCTGCCTCCTCCAAGCAGCAAATGGCACAAAGAAAGTTATTCTCGAGCATATGAGGGCGAACAACTGGTACAGGAGTTCGGAGAGAGCGACTTTTAAGTCACCACTTGACTCTCATTCAGCTGGTAGTTCAATGGCTTCGGTGGTTTCCTACAAGCAGCCATCCACGCCACAGAAAGAACACAAAACATCGGAGAATTGGCTCTTTGCTGGCAGTCCCAGCGGAGACCCCGGGCTGGGAGAGGGACACGGACCCCCGGGCTCGGCACAGCCAGGGGAAGCCCACAGGACTCTGGACCCCTCTGTCCCAACCCAGCACGGCCAGCCCGGCACTTTCCACCACATACCTGAAGTATTACAAAGAACAGAAGAGGGAGCAGGTACAGGGAGAGCGGCGGTGCCAGAAAGTCAGATTAAAACAAGGGCTCAGCCATCCAAATCCTCCCTGCTCCCGACCGGGGCGGCACTGCCGCCTCCCACCTGGGCAGAAAAGGGGGTTTCTCGAGGGGGCCTCCAGTGTCCGACCCCCCAAACACCTCCCCAGGCCCCTCAGCCCCAGCCCCACTCTGGCTGTGGCCCCTCACTCTCCTGAGGAAAGCGCCCCCCTCACCGCCGCCACAACTCATACCAGCCTTACACTGGGACCCAGGGACATCTCCACAGGGCTTCCCCCGGGCTCCCTCAGCACTCCCGGCTCAGCCGCGTCCCGGCCCCTCACAGCCCCCCGCACGCTGCCCCCTCCCCAACAGACACAGCAGGGAACCTCCAAAGACAGACAGACACACGCACGCACACACACACCCCTCCGCCGGGAGTGGAACAGTCCGGAGCACCCCAGTACCCTGCGGGAGCCGGCTCCCGCCTCTTCCACCTCTCCGGCCCCGCGGGGGTGCGCGCCCCCGCCCCCGGGGGAGGATGGTACCGCCCACCTCCCCTCAGCCCGCCGGAACCCGCCCGTTTCAATGGAGGGTCCGGCGCGGCATCTCCACACACACGCGGCCCCCCCCCCCGCGCCCCGGCAATGGATGGGTCCAGCCGGCCAACCCCGGGGGCCGCACAATGGCCGGAGCAAAGTCCCGGCTCGCCCCTACCTTTTCTCGGCTTCCTCCTCTTCCCGGGGCCTCCCTCCCTCCCTCCGCCGCCTTCCCCAGCGGCGCGTCCCTGCTCGCTGCCCCGGGACCGGCGGCCTCCGACCAGGAAGTGCCCCGGTGTGACACCGCCGCTATGGAAACCTCCCCGCCCCCGCCCCTCCCACAGGGCTGACCCGCCGCCGCCATCTTGGGCTGGGGACGAGGCGTCCGCCCGGAGCCCCTCCGGGAGAGCCGGGGCAGAGCGGGACAGGGCGTCGTGTGGGGGAAAGAAGGGGGAAAACACAATGCAAGTCTTGTGGCCTTCAGATATATCGTGGCTGTGCTGCCAGATCATGGAAGACCCCCATCATGGAAACCCATTCTCCTGTGTCCAGGTCTAGGCTGCTCCATACAAGGAAGACAAGGAGCTGCTGGAGAGGGTCCAGCGGAGGCCACAGAGGTGATGAGGGGTCTGGAACATCTCTCTTTTGAGGAGACACTGAAGGAGTTGGGCCCGTTTAGAGAACACTGAGAGAGGATCTCATCAATATGCATAAATATCTCCAAGGCAGGTGCCAGGAGGATGGTGCCAGACTCATTTCAGTGGTGTCCAGTGACAGGGCAAGGAGCAATGGCCATAAACTAAAACACAAGAAGTTCTACCTCAACATGAGGAAGAACTTCTTTCCATGGAGGGTGGCAGAGTACTGGAACAGGCTGCCCAGGAAGGTTGTGGAATCTCCCTCTCTGAAGACATTCCAGACTCACCTGGGCGTGTTCCTGTGTCGTCTGCTCCAGGTGACCCTGCCTTGGCAGGGGGGTTGGACTGGATGATCTCCAGAGGTCCCTTCCAACCCCAGCGATTCTGTGGTTGTGTGTTTTGATTTTCTCTGGCAGGAGGGTTGAAGCACAGCTCCATGGCTGAACTCGGGCTTGTGTGTGACAAGGACTACCACAGGATTGCCAGAGAGATTGTGGAGTCTCCTGCACTGGAGATATTCAAGAACCACAGGGACACAATCCTGTGCCGTGTGCTCTGGGATGGCCCTGCTTGAGCAGGGAGGTTGGACCAGATGACCCACTGTGGTCCTTTCCAACCTGACCCATTCTGTGGGATGGGCTATATTGCTCATTCCAGCTCTCCTGGCATCCTGCACCCATCACAAGAGCTTTGATCCTAGCCCTGCCTCTTCCTTAAGCAAGTGCTCCCACTCCCTGTGTGCAAATTCCTGGTGCATTTACATCCCTGTGCTTTGCATGGGGCAGTGGAGCCGGTCCCAAACAAAACTGGAAGGGAGAAAGCACAGCAATGCAACTAACATTTTGACATCTCAAATGCCACAGCAGTGTCATGACCAGAAGAGTTTAAATCTTGGTTTGAAAACAAAACTGTTGTGGTTAAGAGGGAATTTGGAGTGGCAATAAAATAGGGTGTTACATTCAGAGCAGAATTAAAATAAACAGTACCTAAAATGTAGTACCAAAAGTTGTCCAGTAACGATAGGAAAACAGAGCAATGTCCCGTAAATGTTTTAAACAATCCTGTGTTTGAGCCACAATTATATTTAAACAGTTTCTATTCAAATACTAACCAAGGAATTTAGCATAATCTACAAAATATAAACACTTTAAAATAAGCAATTCCAGACAACTTGCACTAGGAGTTGTGGGGTTCTCGACTTCCAATATTAATTTTTATTAAATTTTGTAATCCTAGGACATTTCATGACAATTTGTAGAACACATTACTCCATTACTCCAGGATAGATTAGATGAGTTAAATAATTATTGACTGGTTAGCCAAAGATCAGTAAATCTCCACAGATATTTCCTTTTTTAATAGGCTTTCTGTCCTCATAGTTCTCTCTTATTTTAGATGAAAAAGAGCTTGAATAGTGTTACTTCTGGAAAAACTGGAAGTATCACCCCTGGTACACGTAATCCCCATGCCAGCACATCTCACTGCCTCCAGGAATGTGGGAAATCTACATGCTGTGCATGAGCATGGCTGCATGTGACACCCATTTCATGTAGGAGAAAAAGGCCAAAGGCAGTGAGACAGAGCAGCCCAGATTGCTTTTGTCCAAATTTCCTCTCCTTGTGCAGAGAAATTGTAACAAAAACCAGAAATGTATTGCTTTGCAATATATTTCAGAAAATAATTGTGATTAACTAACCTATCAGTATCCCATCGATCCCAAGAGGGATACCGTGGTCGGACCTGGCTTATTCCAATTTCAAGACTTAATTGTGTTTTTAAAAATTTTAGAAGGTGTTGGGATATAAAAATATTACTTAGCTTTCTGCCAGCTAGGGATTTGTTTCCTCCCAAAATGGCTAATGAGTTAAGATGAATGTCTTCCACAGGGAGCTCCCTGCTTCATCAGAACCATCTCATTTCTATTTCATGCATTCTCAAACTGTAGATCATCGTTTTTGTTTCCCCATATGCTCTTTGTTTCCTGTTGCACTACTATAACTGGGATGTGGAACAGTTCTGAAATCACAGCTTTCCAAGCGGCTGACAGTGGGATCATACTTGTTTTATCACTACTCCCACATACAAATCCTGCAATATCATTTCCAGCAACACTTTGTTTTTTATCACAGTTCTTAGTCTGAGAAAGTGTATCCACTCACTGTTATTTATAATGCTTAAAGGTCCATGTGGCATCCCAAGAACATAAAGAGACGCTGCCTGTGCCTGTGCTCTTTGCCAGGAGCGTGCTTTGGGAATCAGGGAAACCTCACATGGTTCTCCATGTTGTATCTACACTGTTGTATCTACACTGTCCTTAAACTGGTCCTGTGTGCAGCCTGCCAGCCGACCCCATGCTGACAGGCTTCGTGAGACTCCCAGCGTACCAATTTATCTTCCATGTCACGTGGGCAGAGTGAGCAGCGTGGGATACACGGTGGAGAAGTTGCCTGGGTCCAGTCCATCTGCTCTCTACTTGGAAAACCTGCAGCTTGCTCACCAAGTGTGAACTTCAGTTGGAAACATGTAAGAGACATTTAGAATCACATTTACAACCTTTCCGTAAAATTCCTTTCTGAACCAGGAGTATCTGCTAATGTCAGGAACGTTCAGGGGTTACCTCAAGAGATGACCTTGAAGTTCAGATGTTGCAGCCACCTTCAGCTGGGTCTGGAGCCACAGAAGTGAAGATACTGAACCTGGTGCAAACTAACACCTCATTGCACCGAGCGGGCATTGGGATGCACCACAGGGGTACAGGGAGACAGCTTTGTGCAGGCAGCAACTCAGTCAAACTTTAAGTCCCCACCAAAACCAATGGCCAAAACTAATTAACCACAGTGGTAATCACAACACCACTCCAGTGAGATTTGACAGGTTCAGTGTAGCAGTCAGGGATGTCGTTACTGCACAGACAACAGTGACGACCCAAAGCCACACTCTCTCTTGCTCAGGATATCCAGAAGGTGGATATCCACTCATGGATATCCACTAAAAAAATACTTACCTGGCGGGGGTAAAGACAGTCCTGGTCAGTCTCCTCGTGTGCCATCCCAATCCCAGCACAGCTTTTCCCTCAGAGACCCACTGGACTCCAAAGGAACACAGGAATTCATGCTGCAAAAGCAACGAGATTCCCATCAGCAGCCAATCCTCGGTGTGCTTTGCCCTCTGGGGTATTTTTAGCTACAAGGCTTATGAAACCCATTCTCTTCAATAAAACAGCATTTTAAAAAATTAAGCAGAACACAAAGCACATGTGCAGAGTTCTGTGAGCCAACTGCAACATCTGGAAGTAAATCTGTCTGTCTGCAGGTAGTGATTACAGCCTGCCCTCACTGTATCCATGAGCTTCCTCCCTTGTGAGGCCTGCCCAGCAATGGGACAAGGGCATGAATTTGATGACCCGGGCTTTGAATTAGGAATTGTGGACTGGAAGTCCCAAGAACTTCTGGAGCACCATCCTGTGGTGCAAAGGCACCCTAAGGCAGCCTCCCTAAGGCAGTCCATTGGGCTAAACATATAAATTCACATACGAACACATGATTAGAGGTCTGGAGCATATCCCCTGTGGAGACAGACTGAGAGAGTTGGGGTCATTCTGCCCAGAGAAGTGAAGGCTCTGGAGAGACCTTAAAGCCCCTTGCAGTACCTAAAGGGGCTCCAAGAGAGCTGGAGAGGGACTTCTGACAAGGGCATGGAGTGACAGGACAAGAGGGAATGGCTTCAAACTGACAGAGTGCACATTTAGATTAGATGTAAGGAAGAAGTTCTTTCCTGTGAGGGTGGTGAGGCCCTGGCACAGGTTGCCTAGAGAAGCTGTGGATGCCCCATCCTTGGAAGTGTTCAAGGCCAGGTGGGACTGGGCTTGAAGCAACCTGGTCCAGGGGAAGATGTCTCTGCCCATGGTGGAGGGTTGGAACTAGATGATCTTTAAGGTCTCTTCCAACTCAAACCATTCTGTGATTTGGTGGCACAGCTACAGCCCTGAAGAGCTTGACTTTGGCTTTACAAAATTATGCATTCTGTGAACCGAAAAGACCGCAGTTAGTAGAATTTTCTTAGTCCTAAAATTATTTTTAAAACTGGTTTTGGACTATTCTTTTCCAAGCTGTGTTTGTGCTATAGGTTTGGCTTAGTTTCTGTGGTGTGTAGGATTTCCAGCATATTTTCCGTGGCATATGGCATTTCCACTTCTGCTTGCAGATCGTTTTCAAGGCACATGAGCTAATGGGTGTTTTTCTGTGTCACTCAAAATACGAACCATTTATGCACAGGCATGTACCTGGAGAGTGAGCGGCTCAGAAGATCCTGCAGGTATCCAACACACACAAACCTGTCTATTAGTCTTAAATTTAAACATCTGCCTGTTCAACCTCTGAGACTTGTCACTTCTGAAACCTACAGTAGTCATTACAAAGGATATCACTTCAAATACCCGATTTGAGGTGAAGTGCTTATAGGACTATGAACAATAGCTGGCAGATGGCTATTCTTTACAGTATCATGAAGTACATCAATATTTTATAAGCTTAAATGCCCTCAGCTGCCGTACCACCTGCCGGGTTTGCTTTCGTTTACTTTCCCCAAAATGCAAGTGGTGGGTGACTGTTTCAGGTGTTACTTCCAGCCCATCACTTGCCTGATCATGCCATGGACATTTGCAGGAGCTTTGCATCCCCCAGCTCTGCAAAACTGATGATTTAGGCAGAGGTTTGCCTGTACAGCATCAGCCACCCTCTGATCTGGAAACACTGCATTGCACAGGAAGGGCTGTGCTGAAAGCAGGGATGGGAGTGGGACTGGGAGCAGGAGGGTTTGCCCTTTGCTTCACTATTGAGTGCTGATGTCATTTTTCTGGCTGCCTAAAGGACTGTTTTCCTTTCCATTGGGGTTGTTCCCTTGCCCTCACCCAGTCCCATTGTCTGCAGGCTCCCTTGGTTTGCAGAGGTTCAGGTTTCACCCATTCAGGCCTCTCTTCCTGCTTTTGGTGACTCCTGCCATGGGAATCAGACTTGAATGTGTGCAGTGCTTGCTGCCTGATGAAAGGGCATATTTCTGTCCCCTCTGTCTGTCAAGGAGATTTTCTTGATCTCCTTCCTTTTTTTCCCAAATTTTCTGTCTCTTCTAGCATTTTCTTGCCTTTTCCCATTTACATCCTTATGTCTTATTCTTTCTGTTACATCAGTACTCTCTCATTTCTTTCTCTCCCCTTTTATATGTTGATTTAGGTTTCAATACTCTTTATGAAAAGTACACATGGAACAGCATTTAATACACAGTACAAAGAAACCTTTTAAAAATGTCTCCTTAACACCAAGTAGTTTTTCAGTGAACTGAAAAAACGCACAACACCAAAAATGTGTCACTTCCCTGTATATCCCATGTCATAGAACTTCCCAGAGATCCTTTTCTACATTGACTACACAGACAATACAAGATGACTGTGCACAGCAAATACAAAAGCCTTGCTGAAGAAGGCACGTGTGGCCATATCTAAACTGAAGCATAGGATGGGTTTAAAACATGAAGTGGAGTATTTTCCTGAATCTGAATTTTAGATTCTTGTTAACAGGATTTCATCCTGCTCCCACAGCAGAAGGAGAAGGGATTTGGTGAAAGAGAGGGAAAAGCTGTAATCAAATCATACAGCTTTCAAATCAAGGAGAAGTAGAACATAAAACAGAGGAAGAAAAGGAAGGATAAGAAGACAGAAGATTAGATTTTATTGGCAATGATGTACAACAAAACAAAGCATCAGCTTCATCTTTTGTGGTTTTCCAGGACAGTAGCTGAAAGATATGTTTTTTTAAACTGCAGATCTGATGTAGAGTTACAGCAAGACAAGGAACCAGGAATCTCATGACAGTATTTTATAGAGTCAGTGTTCAGAGCACAGTCACTATTAAAGTTTATTATCAGTCACCCATAACCACCAGCATGTCAGAAGTAACTCAAAGTTAACAGAAATAGAGTCATTTCTTAGACACCAACAAATTTAAAATCCTCAAAGGGATTCATTTTCATGAAGTTACAAGCAAATGAAAACAGGAGCCTGTAATAAAATGTGTCAATGCTCTGTGCTGTGATAGTGTATCCTGCAAAAGGTGTAATTACTTGTCTAATGTAGTGCAAAAGTTAAATCTTTATGACCTTTTCCATTTGCTGCTGAAATGAGCAGAGAAGAGTAAATGACTGATGGAGCAGAAATATGTTCAGTTCGATCAGGTAAAGCTCCTTGTGGAAGATCAAAATCATTTTTTTCCAGCAATGTGGCATTTAGAGTTTTTCCCTGCTTATGCAGAATTTATGTAGCACAACGTGAAATGGGGGATGCAAGTTGGGCTTTGCTTTTTTCCTTCCCCCTCTGCCTTGAGCCATCTGTGTTCGGTCCAGCCTCCTGTTAAGCAGAGTGAAGGTTTCCTACGAAGCCTTAACTGCAGGAATAGCTTGCCAGGGAAATGGAAGTCCTATGGCACTTATCTTTTCCCTAACCAAGCCCATATGGAACCATAGAGTGAAACGAGCCAAGGAGAGAGTGGCCAAGCTGTTTCACACCTGTGAGGAGCAGAGTTTGTTTCCCAGGAAGGGGCCATTGCACAACTGGCACCCAGGATGCCCAAACACGGGACGTGAGGTAACTCACATTCCTGGCCGATGAAGGAGATGTGCTCACAGATCCTGCTGGGGCTGGTGTTTACACCAGGTACCCAGTTTCAGGGAGCCACGGTCCCTGCATACAACCACCGTTGCTGATAAAGGCACCCCTCACCTTTGGCAAACAAAGCCAGCTTTCATCTGTAAAACAGGGTGAAGCTTCCCAAACTTTTGGCAAATACCTTTGGAGTGTAAGCATGCTTTATCCTTTTTATGCAAAGAAAAGCTTTCTGAAAGGTGAGGTATCAACCACCAAATAACAGGCTATTTTCTCGAAGTTTCCTTACAATCCAATAATTTACTATCGCATCTGGAGTTATTTCTCCTTCCGTAACCTCAAGATAATAAGCAGGATTCAGTCTGACCACACTTCAGATCGATCAACATCATGAAAGGTGGATTTTCTTAAATACTGGGTTGAGGGGAAAGTGAATTTGTGCAAGGACACACATACCTTGAGATATATGAGCCAATCGGCTTAAAATGTTGTTTTGCCCTGACCTGACAAGACTTGCTGTCTGGCAACACATAATCTCTTTGAATGTACTCCCAGAAAGGTGATGGCTGTTTGAAAACCCTTCTGAACTGCAGTTTATCTCGATGGCTGACACCTTAATAGAAACGACAGAGCTCTGCGGGAGCCCCGGGACGAGCAGGTATTAATGGGAGTTTGTGTTGATTCAGGGGAGAAATGGATAAGGAAAGACTCAGAATCAACTTGTTACAGGTTTTGTGCAGAAGTTTAAAAAATTGTGTGTCGAGGATTTCGAAGCAGACACTGCCAATGGGGACTCCTATTTCACTGGATAAAGCCACAGGGCTTTGTCCTGCACATCAGGATGTTTTCCTAAGAGCGTCCTGCTCTTATTCGTCTCCGTCAGTGCGATTTAAAGTTGTGCATTTAAGACTCGAGTAAGCTCCTTTGCAAACACTCTTGAGAATGGGATCAAAATGGGAAGAGATTACAAGTAATCTAATTATGTTACGTTCCATTTGAAATCCTTCAGTGTAAAAATTAAAAGAATACGACACAGCTTTGCAATATGCTGGAGTTCACATGGAAGTGGCATGAGCATGTGGGAGTGAGGCAACATGTGAGAAAATATCATGTGTTGGGTGTACAGCAACGTTCACTTTAAATAATCTAACCCTGAGGCCTAGAATGGTTTGGTGAACTAAAAATAAATTCTAAGAACTTTACACCCTCTGTCATTAATGTGATGCTGGCCTTTGCCTCTTATTGTCTGGCCACAGCTTATGAAAAAGCTGGAAATCAAGAGGTCTTGTATCAAAAAATCAACAGCAAACACAATGTTGGTCAGCAAGGTTGTGCCTGGAGCAGCACAGACACTGAGAATTGACCTCTATCTGCTCATGGGACAGACAGTGAATGCCTGTTGCTGAATGGTCTGTACATTTACACCATAACATTCACCTTCCAGTAAGGGCTGTAAGAACAT